TAAAAACAAAACTGTAATTTTCTGTAATTTCTACTGATGGACAGATTCTCAAGCTCCCCAGATAATCTCCACTTTTTGCTTCTGAAGACCTAACAAGTCACTTCTTTCTACCCAAAGCCTTAACTACATACATGCAAACACATCCCGAATTTATTATTTCCAGTCTTAACATTTTCTCTGGGCTGATTTACTACTTATGATTGCCAACTGCCAAGTCTGACCTGAATATATAACAGCATCTCAAAAACTTAATACATGGTCCATGCTAAACCTGTTCCACCCAAGTCAACTCCATCCCAAGTAGCTAGTATTATCTCACCATCCATACTTTTCAAATAAATAAATAAATAAATAAATAAATAAATAAATAAATAAATAATCTAAGAGCCTCACTTGATGCCTCACTATCCCACAGACCTCAGGCCCTCTCCTATCTCCAATCAATCACAAAGCCCTATCATTCCCTGTCAAACATATCTAGAACTTGTCCACTTCTCACCATGTCCACTACTACCACCCTAACTCCAAACCATCGTCATCACTGCTCACCCCTTACTGTTCTCCCTGTTTTCTGCCCACCCTTGCCCCTCCAAGTCATTCTCCACCAAGGAACCAGAATGATCTTTTAAAAAACTAAAATTCCAAGAGTGAAAGACGAAGAGAGAATATTAAAAGCAGCAAGAGAAAGCAGGTAGTTACCTATAAAGGAGCACCCATACGATTGTCAGCTGATTTCTCAACAGAAACCATGCAGGCCAGATGGGAATGGCAAGAAATATTCAAGGTGATGAATAGCAAGAACCTACAGCCAAAAATAATCTACCCAGCAAAGCTATCACTCAGAATCGAAGGCCAGATAAAGAGCTTCACAAATAAAAAAAAGCTAAAGGAATTCATCACCGCCAAGCCAGAATTATATGAATTGCTGAAGGGGGTTCTTTCAGAAGAGGAAGAAGATAAATACAAAAATTATGATCAACAAATACGTAACTATCAACAAGTGAAGCTAAAAGCCAAGAGAAAAAACAAAAACAAAAAAAACTGATGAACAATATTAACTGGTGAATATAATAGAATCAGAGGTATGGAAGGGGAGTGGACTGAGGATTCTGGGGGGAAAGGGGAGTGGGGGGTGCGGGAAGAGACTGAACAAAAACTGTGCACCTATGGATGAGGACAATGGGGGGTGGGGAAAAGGCAGAGGGTGGGGTGGGAACCTGGTGGAGGGGAGCAATTGGGGAGGGAGGGAAAGAGGAACATTTGTAATAATCTGAACAATAAAGATTTATTTAAAATAAAAATAAAAATTAAAAATAAAAAATTTCACTTCACGGCTCAAAATCCTCCCATCATAGTTGACAACAAGTAAAAGTACAAAGATCACAGAATTAGGAGTTCTAGCTCTGGCTCTGCTACTGACTATAACGTTTAGCAAAATGAAGTTGCCTCACCCACCTTATTTGCTAAATGAAAAGGGCTCTAGGTTTATCTTTACAATTTTAATAGTCTAAGTCCAGTATATAATTTAATACATACCTCGGCTTATTTCATTTCTCCCTTTCAATAAAATGCTTAGTTCATAAGTCCCATATCTCTCAGCACTCCCTCCCTTCTAGAATACTCACACAGGGATGCCGTGGTTTTTCTCTGACTTTCTTTTGTTACCTTTAGGCAGAAAAGGAAAATACAAAGGGTTCTCAAGCTTCCACAAGGGCAGGGCAATGTCTGATGTGTAACTCTAAAGCTGGGAGTTACCCACATGAGACCAGCCAGGGCTGGCTTTGCCCTCAGATGGGTCATGTTAAGCTGCTCTACATCTTTCAGTTGACACAAAACTCAAACGGACACACCCGGAGAAAACCGAGTTGCAGACTCCTGCAGGCCAGGCCTCTATGTAGTCATAACATTGACCTTTTGATAATTTTTTTTCCTCTAGGACTTTAGGAAAGATTAAGTTTTAAATATAAGAATGACTTACCCCAGAAAAGCACCATTTTTTAGGAAAACCAACTACAATATACAAACCACGTATTTCCCATGAAGTGAAAGGACAGGAAGTAGTGTAAAGTAGTGGAGGGAACCACACTCATGTGGCTTGTGTCGGAAGGAACACTAGAGAGACCAGATGACTTTTCCATTTCGGTTCACTTTTTAAATATTGTTTCAAGAAAACAGTGGGGAAAGGAGAGCACTGAAGCAAACCACAACCTCCACCCTCACCCCCACATTCAGAAAACAGGGAAAGAAAACCTCCTCTGACTTGCCTTAGGACAAACTAAGCAAATAAAGATAAACCAGCCTCTCTTCACAGCTCTACCAACAGCCATCTTCCCCTTCTGCCTCTCATTCTGTCCCTTGGTCCCAATAACCACAATTAGCCGGGATATCACTAATATTCTGGCTCTATATTCAGAGTTCACTTGCTTTGTGTTTAACTCCCTGCTTTTAGTCCCCAATCTCTATACTTTCCTTGGAGTCACCAGAATAGTAAATTTGGGATCTTAAATTCAACCTATAATACATTTTCTTAAAAATATACCTTTAACTGGGTGTGTGAACAGAAAATTAATGCTAAGTATGTGACATGGGAGATTTTAGTTTAAAAAGCTAAATTAAATCCAAAACCTAGCCAGAAAAGTACCAATAGCCCTGCATCACACACTTAATTCCCTTTCATTCAAGCTCTTGGCTCCTAATTCTCCTCACAAAGGACATCCTAAGCCCTCCATCTGCCTGAGCCCTCAGCTTCACCTCCCAAACCAGCACTGCCTAAGGCCTCCCATGGGGCTGGCACTGTGGCTGCCGAGAGTGCCGCAGAATTAAAATGAATGCTGACTGCAAACACAGGCCGAAGATGAAAACTTCATCTCTACTCAATTGTTGATAGCATGTGCACTTGTGCAAAGAAAACCCCATTTTCCAATCACCAAGCTTATGGAGGATTTTGTTCATTTCAAATGTCCACTCAAAAAATATGCAAGAGCCATCTAACCTACATAGTACGTAGTTGAAATTATGTACGAAATAAAATCTTGGAGAAATCTCAGCACAATTTATCATTCATTCATTCATTTATTTATTTTACCAAAAAAGCAAGAAGTAAACTAGGATCCTCTTTCCTGAAATGCTACTGGGAAGCCTACTGCTGAACTTACAGGATTTGCTGTCTTGCGGCTGACACTTGAAAACTTGCTCCAGCACCTGGTAGCAGATAGTCTATACTCAACTGTACTCTGTCTCCTGGGCACAGAGAAATACTTTTTTGGCATCCTACCCTGCACGTAAGCTTTTTGGTCGGGTATTTGGTGGGCAATGCAAATATTTGCTATTTTATCTTAAAACTGTTTTAAAGCCATTTTTAGTTATCTAGATTTTTTTTTAAAAGAATTAATGTTAAATTGTGTGTGTGTGTGTGTGTGTGTGTGTGTGTGTGTGTGTGTGTGTGTGTGTGGTGTGTTTTAACTGGAAAAATAGAACGGATCCTGTTTAACAAATAAAACAAAGCAAATCCCAGTAAGTTATTTACTGTCTTAATTATAAGGCAGGCTGACTGGCCCTCCTTGTGAGGAGGGAGAACCTCGCTTTATCTTTCCCTGCCTTCATTCTGGCCCCCTTCACCTAAATCCCATCATAGCACAAAAATGTGCAATAAATGGCTCATTCCGGTGAATCTTCACAAGATGGAGTTAAAGGCAGGGTTCTGCCAACTTGGTCATTTCTACCATTTCCTTTTTCGGCCCTTTCTCATTTTCCCTCAGCCACCAAACAAGTCCCCTTCTGAAGACATCTGGAGACACTAGAGCTCAAGAGCAAACTGCAGACAGAACCCTACCTAGCCTATTCTAAACCCAGGATCAGCTCTTCCTCCTTAAAGATAAGGGTTATCTTTGCAGCTAAGGATCCTGGAATCTGTTTTTTAACCTTGAGGAATTTTACCTTCCAGCACTATGTAAGACTGCCATCTAGGTACACACTCTTTGAGCAATGGATACGCACATTAAAATGTTTATCCAACAGATGTAACAAAACCACAGTCTTTAACAGATAAACTTTAAAACATTTACTTCAAACGCTTACTTGACTCTCTTGATCTGGATTTTGGAGTCACTAGCACTAATTTAGAATTTCAGTGATAGGATGTGTTCTCTGACTCACCTCATTCAAACACAATGCTGCCATTTGGGGGGGCAGCGCAGAAAGGGGAACTTCTTTGTTTAAAAAGGTACAGTATTTTGGTTACTTGAAAAAGCCATAGTTGAAAAACATTCTGTTTATATTTGCAACTCACTCTAATGTCACCACACATCCCCCTCTTCTTTCTTAGGTAGTAAATACATTAGAACAGAACTTTAGTTTCAAAGTTTCTTAACAATTTACAAGGCACAAACCTTTAAAAAGTAATGCTTTGCTTTCAACATTTTGGCCTTGTTTTGACTTTTTTAATGGTTTTGACCTCAAGAAAAACTAACTGGGGCTGAGGAAACAAAAAAAAATTTATTTTCTTTACAGTGCTAAAGAAGCCAGTGTTCCCTGAAACAAACAAACAAAAAACACACACACACACACAAAAAAAAAAACAAAAACAAAAAAAACACACAAAATAACAACAACCAAACAAACAAACAAAAAAAAGCAACACAGCCCAAATCATTTATGAAATGTTCTCATGTTAGAAATATCCTCTACATTATTGGGTTATTCAGGTGTACACACTTTTCAAAACAGCGACCCACACTCTCACGATCTCTATATTTTATTGCATGTAAATTGTGGCTCAATAAAATGATTTTTTTTTTTAACCTCTCGGCAAATCACATTTCAGTATCTGCCAATCAGTATTCCATCTTAGACCTGAATTTCTGATAGGTCAACAATATTTTAAGGGCAAAAAGGAATTTCCTTATTCAAAAGCTACTGACACCTCGCCCCCAACTCTCCAGAACTTCCATCTAAAACTTCTCTGCACAGGGACAGTGGCCCAGATATGAAATTCCACTCACCTCAACGGACTGAGAAGGCATTTTCAGCTTGGTGAGCTTAGCTTTGGCAGGCACTTTTAAGTCGGTTTTTTCAAAGGTCTGTTGCCGGTAATCCTCCGGCAGCGGTTTCAGTTCGGGAGACTCGCTAGGAGCCTGATCTTGACCGTCCATGGGCCGGACATAAGCCGTGGGCTTCTGCTGCATTGCAACGCTCTTGGAGGGGAGGGGGGGCGGGGGGAAAGACTGAGAAGGTGGCTGGGGAGGGGCCACTCCCAGGCTGGAGACTGCCATCAGACTGTCCTTAGGGGTCTCTTTGTCCCGGATCTTCACGGCCAGGTCCTTGGGAGATTTGGCGTGGCAGCAGCCTTTACTGTTGTTATTGTTACTGCTGTGGACCTTGCTGCTTCCTTGTGTCCTGGGAAGAGCTTGCTGGTTGGAATGTGGAGGTGACAAAGGGGGTAACGGGGAAGGTAGAGAGGAGAGGAGGGGAGAGAGCTCCCTCTGAGGAGCTGAGTCTGCCATCAAAGCACAGTGGTCTCCTTCGGCTCTGCGGTCACCGTTCCTTCGATGGCTGGAACCGTACCCCTCCTGGCCAAGGCGATCTGGGGCCAGGTGCTGGCTGTCCGGGGCGCCATAGCTTTTCACGTGAAGACTTGGAATTGGTTCCATTCTTGGCTGTGTCACCTTTTGATGGTGGCTCATGTTACCAACAGGAAGTGGTCCAGGGGCGGGAGTGCTCCCAGGCTGGTGATGGACGCGGGTGTGGAAGGAGTGCAGTGGGACGCCGCTCCCCTTCTCGGGAAGCAAAGGGCTCCTCTGCTTTCCTGGCCTATTCTCAGAAGCATCCAAGTGATGAGTGAGAGACTTGGTACTGAGTAACTCCTTTACTTCTTCATAGTTTCCCAGCATGTTCTGTATTCGACTAGAGAGCTCATCGCCTTTTTCTGTCTGAAAAAAAAAGAAAACAGCAAAGTTAGATCCTGGCGGGGGGAAATCTAAGAAAACCCAACATGTAGTAAGCCATGTTACATAATGCCATTAAAAAAAAAATGCCTCTATTTAATGTGCAGCTTAGAATTTAACGTGCAGTGCAAACTAACTCCTTGCTGAGAAGCCAGTCGTGGACAAATATTACTACATATGGAAGACTAACATTACAAAAGGGAACCACAATCTTGGGCAATTTTGACTTACAAAGTTCAGGGAATTTTCATATTTGTTTTCAGAAATAATCCCTAGGATAAATTGTCTTATTTTTCACAGTCATGGCCGTGGTTCAATCTCCCTCTCACCACAGAGTTAAATATGATGATAAATTAGACTTTCTAGCATACAATAAATACCTTGTAGGGCTCTCCAAAAAGGGGAATCTTTTCAGAAAACGCCTCTTTCTCTTGGTGAGCTTCCTGGTTGCGTCTTTCCTTCTCTCTAATTCGAAGCAGGTTTCTGTCTTCATTGTACAAGCTGTTTCAGATGTCACAAAAGAACAAAAACAGTAAAATTTACCAGTATCCGCGTTGTGCTATTCATATGTACATGTTCGAGGGAGGCAAGCTAAGTCAAGAAGAAGCGATAACAGGGAAGACGATGTAAAGAGAGCATAAATCACCCCTGGACTAAGGCTCAGTTAATGGGCTGTGGCCCTCCAGCCTCAGTTCTGGCTCCAGAAACCTAAGCATTCCCTCTGGGCGACTGACTGCCTCCGTGGCTCAGGACTGACTCCAAACCCGAGTCTTTTATAGGCAGTGGTGGAGCTGGGACAAGATTAATGATATTTTTACTTTCAGCTTGCAAACTATGGAGTAGAGGTGGGAGCTTTTCATCTGAAAGAATCAGCAGGATGTGAACTTTAAAAAAGCTGTTTTCCTGGATCAGTATTGCACATTTTGGAAGATTAAAATCAAAAGGCTCGTTTTGTAATTAAAAGATTACCAGGCACCCAAAACAGCATTTACTTTATACTCAGCCTATTCTACCGAGGGTTCTGGCATGTAAACTTGAGATCATTTTTATTTCTCATTTCAAATGCCAAGGATGGGAAAATGCAACTTTAGATTAAAAGTCTACCTACTGAGAAGTCTTATCATCCAATTGCTCTATTTAAACCACATAAAAGTGGACCCAGAATCATGAGCCCTGGCACCAAAAAGGTTAAAAAGCATTCTATAACAAGCAAAACCAAAAGATTGTAGTTTTAGCTAGCACCCAAACCAAAAGTGGGCCTGCCCCATGTCAGCAACACAAGCTACTCTGGCCAACCCACACATGTGAGACATGAGAACAAGGAAAATAAGAACAACTTTACTTGTAGGTATCTACTGAATCTTTCCCCCCAACATTACTTGAATAAATAAGTAGGAAAATATTCAGTTGTCTCGTCTTTATTATTGTACCTTTAGAAATTCTAGCCGTGATGTCAAACACACTCCCTGACCCTATATCCTGGTTTCTCTGCTTTCTCATAACTTCTCTTATTTCCTCTGACAAGAAAGAGCTTACTTACTGGTCTTCCTGTGTCCTTCACATCTTGTCCCTCTAATTTAGACTTGTCTCATGGAAAGAAATCCTAAAGATGGCCCTGGTTCTCATGTCACTATCCATATTTAAAAACAATAAGCATTCGATGGCTCTTTACTACTGCAGAAAAAAAAAAAGCCACTATTATTTTTTTATTGATTGATTTTAGAGAGAGAAGGGGAGGGGAAAGAGAAAAAGATCAATTTGTTATTCCACTTTATTATGCATTAATTGATTGATTCTTATATGTCCAATCTTGGTGTATCAGGATGATGCTCCAACCAAGTGAGCTTACCCGGCCAGAATAAACTCTAAATCCTTACTTTGGCAAGAAAATTCCCCCATAGTCTAGTACAGATCTACTTTAGAAATGATCCCACTCTCTTGTAGCAGGTCTGCCACATGCACCCACTTGGCAGTATTCCTGAAACATATCCTATAAAGATGAGCACTTGCTCTAATCTCTATCACAAAACCCTCTTTTATTGAAAAATCACCAATTCTTCCAGGACCAGCTTAGCTAGGAAGCATGATTCTCCTGCAAACCACCTCTATATTCCAGTTGCACCAATCTATGCCCTGGCTCCTCAAGAACATCCTGAACTTCTAATTACACATTTCCTCTGCCTCTCTTGACTGTGCACCCACATTCCCAATTTTCAGCTACCAAAAAAACCTCTAGGAGTGATTACAATGTCACCTACTCTAAAGGCTTCCTCAAATCCACCGAGTATTTTTTTTTTTTTTTTCAATATTCACTCTGGCCCTGGCCAGTGTTGCCCAGTGGATAGAACATCAGCCCTCCCATGGAAAGATCTCAGGTTTGATTCCCGGTCTAGGGCATGTACCTGGGTTGCAGCTTTGAACTCTGCCCCCGATAGGGTGTGTATGGAAGGCAACCAATCTACGTCTCTCTCTCACATCAATATTTCTCTTTCTCCTCCCCTGCCTCCTTGCCTCCCATCCATTAAATATCATTGGGTGAGGATTAACAAAAACAAAACAAAATTGACTCTGGAAGACAATCTGAAGGTAGGGAGAAGCTAAACTACCTGGTTGAATTCACTGGTGTGTGGTAAATAATTATCTGCTTAGACAATCGTATCAAACACTTTGTCTAGCCCTGAACAGTATGGCTCGTTGGCTGGAGTGGCATCCCAGTGGAAGAGGGTTCAATCCCTCGTCGGAGTGCATATGGAAGGCAACAAATCAATGTTTCTCTCACAATGATGTTTCTTTCTTTCTCCCCTCCTCTCTAAAATCAATGGGGGGGGGGGGGGGGAGACGACCACACACGACACTTTGCCTAGATGATGCATAGCTGAAATATAATATTTTAAGAAAACTCTTAAAACTATAAAGTGAACAACACAGTGAAAAGGTTCAGGAGAAATTCAACCAGAAACTGGCTACAGTCTTTAATAGTCAGAAATCTCACTGACTTGCTTCTGGGGGATAATAGCACAATGGGCATGATGACCATTCAAGAATTCCTTACAAATTATTTTATAATTTTGGTAATTACTCTTGTTGGCTCAAAAATTATGTAACATGAACACACAACCATGGCAGCCAAGTAAAAGAGCTGATCAGGAAATAACTTCTTTTTTTTCCCTTCAAACTTGCTTTTCAGCCTATTTGTTTGCAGGGCAGGGTGGGGCATGAGACTGTCTCTGAGCAACCTGAACTCCAAGCTTCTTTCCTAAACCTACCTGCAGTGGACCAGATCCCAAGGCATCTGCCTGGCCCCTCTTTCCAGACTATGCTGGTTACAACAGTGCAGCCCCTGAAGGTTTTAGTCACTTGTGAGTGTTTATGCAGTTTGGTTCTGCTTTACAGAGTTTTTCCCACATCTGAGTAACTGCCACTTTTGTCTCAGAAAAAGGAACCCCAAATGGCAAAATTCTCAGTTCCATATTGAAAAGCAAGCACCTCAACCATCAGGCTGCTCGGGTTCCTCAATTAATTTTCCTACCAGGATCACTCATGTCTTTTAAGAAAAGCTAAAGAGATTTAAAAGTACTAAACTACTTCTAAATCAATCAGCATCAATTTCTAACACACCTCTACATTTCCATTCTAAAGTAATAAAAACTGCTACAGAAATGAGAAAACCCCAATTTTACAAAATTTCTAACACTGGCTTTCTTGCTATGTGGTTCAAAAATCATGCCTCCCACAGGGAGGAAGTCCTGTTAAATTAAGAATTCTGATTAATTAAGGTTTTACTTCTTTTGTTTAAAAAAGCATTTAGCCCTAGGTGGTTTGGCTCACTGTAAAGAGCTTTGGCCTGTGGGCTCAAGGGTCCCAGGTTTGATTCCAGTCAAGGGCATCTGCTTGGTGGTGGGCTTGATCCCCAGTTGAAGGCTTGTAGGAGACAGCTGATCAATGATTCTCACCACAGATGTTTCTGTCTCTCTCTCTCTCTCCCCTCTCTGAAATCAATAAAAATATAAAAAGACAAAAACAAAAACATTTAACCCACACCAGGATTTTATTAGCAGACGTAATAAATACTATGCCAATTTTAAAACAGACATTGAACCCTTTTTTCTTTTCTTTATTCACCATTCCCCTTCAACTGAAAGACCCAAAAATAGTCAGGTGAGTAAAGACAACTTGAGTGTCACTGGTAGGATGAGTTTTCTGAAGTCTAGACTTTGACAGAAACTCACGCTCACCCACACTGATGGGCAACTCCCTGTTGGCCTCACTCCCCAAGGCTCTTCCTGGGCAGGCGGAGGAAGGCAGAACAGGAAGTGGCGTCCACAATCCCAGGGCTATATAAGGGAGGCTGTGAGCACTCTTCCTCCTGGGTTGCCTAACTTCTTGTAACTAACAGGGTTTTGCCAGTTGTCCTGGGTAGTTTTCGGATTTATTGGGCTTTTACTTATTTCCAAGTTTGCAATGGTTTAAGAAATGGCTTGGTAAAATGACTAGGCGAATACATTCATGAGTACTTTCCTTATTTTAGTTCCACTTTGAAATCAGGGGAAACATAAATTTTAAAAAACATTACCACAATTCACAGCATGAGTAAACCATTGTTCAACCTCTACATATACATCATTGTTTTTAAAACAAGGTGCAAGCAGGGAGAAGGTGGATGGAAATTTTTTTAATGGGGGATTTTAGGAAGCAGTAAATGTCCCGCACGATTCACAGACTCTGTAATTACCATTGAATAATTACAAGTTGACTATTGCTTCATTTAATTAAAGGCTTTTTCCCCCCTGGTATGAAAGAAAAAATGCACTCTTGCTCTCACAGGATAACTTTACCAATATCAGCCTTGTCAGACCCTCTCTCCTCAATGTCCCGCATGGAACACAGTGAGTTACAAGTCCCACAGAGCACTCACTGCATTAGATAAGAAGTTATCGCCAGGACCAGTTTGGCTCAATGGATAGAGCGTCGGCTTGGAGACTGAAAGGTCCCGGGTTCGATTCCGGTCAAGGGCATATACCTTGGTTGCGGGCATATCCCCAGTAGGGGGTGTGCAAGAGGCAGCTGATCGATGACTCTCTCTCTCATCTATGTTTCAAACTCTCTATCTCTCTTCCTTCCTCTCTGTACAAAATCAATAAAATATATTTTTTTTAAAAAGAAAAAAAAAAAGAAGTTATCAACCTTTAGTGCACATCAGGATCAACCAGGGGGCTTGTTAAAACATGATTGCACAGACCCACCAACAAAGTTTCCAAGTCAGTAGATCTGACGTTGAACTAGTTTCTAAGTGATTCTGAGGATTATAAGAGAATACCCTCTTTCTGGGCTGTATGTTTCACGTTAGGCTTACCAAAACACCATGGCAATGATGACAGCGGCGGCCTGGCCAAGACTGCCACCACTTAGCATCTGTTATTCAGCTGGCCCTGATTTAGGCACATCAAATGTGTCCTATTTAATTCCAAGACTCTGTGAAAGGGGGATTATTAACTCCATTT